ATTGATTTATATAATTATAAACCCACCAAAGATACCAGTACCTAGAGTACACCGAGGCTGTTTACCTTTGCAGTTAATAAAATTAAATATTATTTCGTTTGTTTTGTGCTTTTCCAAGCCAAATTTATATTTATTTTTTCTCACCGTCTCCACTAAATGTCAGTAAAATTAAAACATTTCAGCTACACAAATCACTAATCCTTCAAGATCGGTCTCAGCTTCACAGGTCCTAGAGCAGCTTTAACGAAATTGTCGCCGCGGCATAGTTGATTTTACCCGCAATTTTTCGTTTGCTTTTTTTTTTTTTCTTGCAGGGGTTGTTTGGTTTTGCTTAAAACGACCCTGGGGAGGACAAAGGGGGCTAGGAAGGGAGGGGGCAGGACGAGTGGATCTCTCTAGAAGCCAAGGAAAGTCCAGGCATCTGGAAACGCATTTTTTGGTTGTGTTTTAAATTAAGAAAAAAAAAATTATAAATTCTAAGATGTTGGAAACAGGCAGGGAAACGAAGATGTGACTCCAGCTGCTGAGAATGGCGCAAACCGACGACCTCCGGGCGCTGGACGTTGGGGGAAGGGAGGGGGATTGTGCGGGCACCACGCGGTCAGCCAAAGGGGCGGGGTCCACACATACCGCAGAACTACATTCTACACCTCCCTCACAGTTACCATCTTCTTTTCTCCTTGGGGATTGGAGCTGGGATCTAGCAGTTAAAAGGGTGGGGAAAAATGAGAGCAAGAATCTCACCCCTCAACAACAAAAACCATCGAGAGGGAGCAAAGGGTTATTTTCGCGCCACAAAAGATGAAAATCCAGGGGCTGCTCCGGGGCCAATGAATGGAAACCAGCAAACGAATCGGGCGGAGGCAGCCGACGGTGATAGGTTCCCTCCCTGCACCAATCGGATAAGACGGAGAAGCCCCCCGCCCCCTCCTCCAGCCAGGGGCGGTGTTTCTCTCGACGCCGGTTGCTCAACTTGGTTTCGGCGAGTCAGCCTCGTGGAGCGCGGGAGCCCCGCCCCGGGGCCGCGTTTGCGCGCCCTGTGCGCGCGTCTCGCAGCCCGGCCCCGCCCCGGGCAGAAGCGCAGGGTTCAGCGATGGCTTCTTGCCTTTTTCCGTGGGTACCAAGCATCCCCGCGCGCCGGGCAGCCCCTCGCACACACGAAGCTGAGGCCGGAGGTGCGGAAGGGTCGTCAAACACACGCTGCCTGGTCCGTCGGGCCGCGGAGGAAGGACGACTTCAGGTGGAGTCGTGCCACAGGGGAAACAACTGAGGCTTTCTCCGGCGCTCACGTCCCACCGGCCATGCGGCTCCGCGCCGAGTGACGGGACCCGAGGCGGGGCCCGGGGGAAGGCGGCCCACTGGTCAAGGCCCTCGGTGGCTTGCAGTCGGCCGACGAAGGACCTTCCTAGTGTGCTGTAAGGATCCCGCCCTTTCTCGGGGAAGAGCCAGAGGAAAAAGGAAACAACCTCATCTCATCTCTTGGGGCACCATTTTTAATTTCAAACGAAAATAAATGAAGGTAGATTCCAGAGAGTCAGGTTACCCCTTATCACGCCTCCGGTTTAAACTGATCAGAGTCCAGGAGAGCTGTTCGAAGGAGCGAGAGAGTGTTAAAATACCTCCTCTGAGGCCCACGCGACGCAGCGGGCATTGTGTGCCCACCCGCATGAAGGGCTTAGGCTCCCAGCTTATTTCAAGGCAGCTGGGAGGAAGGACGGGTAGGAACAGGAATGTCCTTTCCCCTTCCTGCGCAGCCTTCGCAGATAACCTGTGGATACAGCAATGGTAACCGATGTTCTCAACATAGTTTTTCTCCGTTAATACCACACTGACCCCTAAACATTTTTATCGCGATTAGGTCAGCAGATGAGGAGGAGGTGCAGCTGTCCAAAGAGTAAACAGGCTGCAGTTGGAAAAACTCAGCCGCAATTGAGATACAGTAATAGGTGGGAGTCCTTTTTTCATGTAATCAACATTAATTACATTAATTACAACTGCTTCAGGAGGAATCTGGAGTAGCCTATACAATTAATTTCTTGTGTGAGACGCAACAAAACAGTGGAAGTTAGATTGACTTTATATTGATTCTTAAAAGTCCAAAGATATTTTTGTACTTTTTTTAAAGTGCCAATAAAAAAAAATCATGCTCTTTTTGCTCTGCTATTGAGCTTATTATACTTATCCCTCAAATGCTTGGGAAATTCGAAGTGGATTGGCCTATAGCGACCTTCCTTTTTTGGTGTCTGAGCTTATATAACGTATATGTTTTTAAGGTCCTAGATGGAGTATCCAGTTTGTTACAATAATACACAGATTAAGTTCACAAGAGTCCCAGGAACATATTTCATCAAAACAACACACATTTTGTTTTAAATTCCAGCTGTTACATGTTTCATAGTGACAGACAAGCATGGGCCAGTATTCATGGAAAATAAACTATCTTATGCTTTAGAAGTAGGTATTTCCTTAGGTCTTAGTTTTAATAAGAGCAAATACAATCAGTAATCCATAAGCCACCATTCAATCGATTTAGAAAGCAAGCTGAACATACAAAATTTGTTCTTATGAAAAATTACTAAAAGAATTAAATGATCAACAGACTAGTTGGTAATATTTTAAGTAACATTTACAAAAGCAAAGATTATTAAATGAATTAAAAGCACGTTTCTCCAAATAGCTTTTGATCACATGCAACAGGTCCACGAAAAAAATATATTTTGATATTTACATTTGCATGCTAAAAAAGTCACAAGGAAGAATACATTTTTTTTTTCTTTTTTAGAACCATGGTTCTTCTAAAACAATACAAAAAGGGAGAGGAAAAAAAAAGTTCTTTTAAAAAGTTAAACCTAGCCATAAACTTGAAAAGGAGAAATTTCACCACAAAAATGTTCTTTCAAGATAGGGCTCATAATATAGTTCTAAACACTGTTACATGTTTGTCCCCCATCTCATAAAGTAAAAGCATTTCATTAAATAAAATGAAAGTATTGTGGATGTGAGTTTACATTTAAAAAGTTGTATTTGCTTGGCAGGAAAGAAAAACCTGTTAGAACAGTTGCATTTAAAATGGATGATCAGACACCTTCCGGTTACTAAACAAGACAAACTTATGAAATAAGTTCCTTTTAAAAGACAAAACGTAAATACTCTATACTTCATGCAATATATTCCTGTTTGTTTTTTTATAATCTGCCATTCATCTTCTAACCCTGGAAATTACATAGCGTTGAATAACACGGTTTTGACAAAGAAACAAACTGCATCAGCTGTAATTGTTTAAGATGTTTCCAGTGTAAATCACATTATTTTCTCTACTACACAATACATTTTTGTCTACCGATAAGATAACCAAGTCATAAAATTTGTTTATATTTCTATGCTATAGACAATTTCATTCACTTAAAAAAATTAACATGTCTTTCCCATGGAATACCTGTTAAAAATATACCACAAGTATCTGGTATAAATGAAGCCTTTGAGTGGAAGACACAATCATTAAAGGACACTTCGAGATTTCCACAAGCACCCCAGCACTGCCTTGTTTCCGTATTCCTCTTCTCCAGTCCATGTTTCGTCGGCCTTGAAGGCTCCACTGTGCCCAGACCCTCCCCCACAGACCCACCTTTGCACTCCTAACACACATGGAAAATTATGAATGCTTCTCATGGCCAAACGCTGGCAGAAAGAGACTCGGACAATTTTGCAAGTGCGATTACCACCTAGGGGTAACGCAGAGCGGTCTTCCGGTTTGAAGAGTCTCAAGTTCGACAACTAAAATTATTTAAAGAAAAGTGCCGCCCTACCTACTCCTCCCCCTCTAGAAACTACAGGAAGAGAGAGTTTCCCTTTAAGGACCGACTTTTCCCACTTTGACTTCTTCTCCTCCGGCCTCCAAGGCCCCCGACGGCCCCATCCCCACGCCAGAAACCTCCGCCCTCCTTTCCCCCTCCCCCACCGGTGGCTGCGCCCGCCCCCGGCCTCATTTATCCCTGAGCCTTTTCTGAAGCGCGCAACCAATGGCAAACGCGAAGCCGAGAGCCACTGCGAGCGCAGGCGGGGGCGGGGGCGGAGGCGGAGGAGGTGTCGCCCAGATACCCGCCCAGGACGTCGCGGGCTCCCATCCCCCATTGCTCCGGCCCTGGGAGCCTGAGGACCGGCGCCCGCGTTTCCCCGGGCCCAGGAAGGATGAAGAGGATGGGGCGCTTCTGCCGTCTCTCCCGCCTGCACCCACCTCACCCCCTCTCTGCGTTTCCGCCCCTGCCAGCCCTGGAAACGTGCTCGCGGCTTTGTCGAGGTTACACTTATAATGTCATCAAAGCCACAAGGCTAGTTCAGGATTCCGACTCTGGTTTTGTTAATCACCTATTTTTAAAAATAGAATGATTAAAACTTCGGGAGCTAGAGTTGAGGAATCGCCTAGTTAGCACTCCCACACTTTCACTCATTAAAAAAAAAAAAAAATCAACATTCCAACCCCCGCCCCCCAGGAACCGCCCCGACCAGATAACCCTTTCTAAACTCTTGTGACAATCAGCTCCTCGCGCAGCTCGGCGCCCGGCTGCGGATCCTTTAGCATTTTTCCTCCTCTCCCTCCTCAGAGTCCCCCGCCTAATCTCGTTTCCCCTCCCCCTCTTCTTCCTCCAGCTCGCTCCTTCCCCCCCACCCTCCGAAACCCACTCTAATTGAGGCGCTGGGATTCCTCACGTGAGACGTTGATTTGTAGTTTGAACACGTGGCTCATTCAAAAAGCCGGACACTCGGAGCGGATTTTTTCCGCCTCCTGCGCCTTCCTCCCTCCTCCCCTTCTCCCCTAGCTCCTGCCAGTCACCCTTCTGGGCTTTTTATGGGGAGGCGGTGCCTGCCCTCACGTAGTGTGATATTTTCACAGTCCGCTGGCCGATGCCAAAGGGGTTGGGGAGGAAGAGACAAAAAGTAGTTTTTTTTTTTTTTTTTTTCCCCTTCTCCTCCTCCTTTCTCTTCCTAATCCCGCCTCCTCTTCAGAGTAGGAAGACTCGTTCATGCGTCTGGGTTGTAGCAAGGCTTTTTCTTTTCTTTTTCTTTTTTTATATCTGGAAAAGGAGAAGCAACAACCCTCAGATCTGATTTTTCCCTCCCCGTTCTCGCCCTTGTTTTTTACTGGGTTTGTGCATTTTAAAGGCGAAAAGACGAGGGGAACAAAACCGCCGGATCCATCCATCATTGTGGGTGGTTTTAATTTTTTCGTTTTTCTCTTATTAGTTTTTTAAAACAACCAATCTTCACAATGAACAAACTGTATATCGGAAACCTCAACGAGAACGCCGTTCCTTCGGACCTAGAAAGTATCTTCAAGGACGCCAAGATCCCGGTGTCGGGACCCTTCCTGGTGAAGACCGGCTACGCGTTCGTGGACTGCCCGGACGAGAGCTGGGCCCTTAAGGCCATCGAGACGCTTTCAGGTGGGCCCCGGCCTGGCGCCTGTCCCAGCTCTGCGCCGCCAGCCCGGGCCCGCCGAGGTCGGGTGCCCGGAGTCAGGCCCGCGGCTGCCGCCGGGGCGTCCGCGCGGGGCCCCAGGCCCGGCGAGAAGCCGGCGGAGGGTGTGAGGCCTGAGCGCCCACTCGCGTGGGGTCGGGGTGCTCTCAGATTTGGCTCTAACTCCGCTCCCCCGTCACCCCTCCCCCCCACCGGGGTTTGCCTGGCGAAGGTGGACCCGCTGTCAATAAAGCCAGGGCCAGGGCTAGGAGGGGCGCGAGGGTCGGCTGCGGAGCCTGTGCGCGGGGGTGGGGGGCGCGGTTGTCCTCACTGGACCCCCATCAGCGCTGCCACCGCGCCCAGCCCGGGCCCAAGCGCTTTCTCTCGGCTTCCACATACCGGGCCTGGGGGGCCGAGTGCGAATGCCTGCTTCGCCTTCCTTTCTCTGTTCGTTATTTATGGCGCTGGGTTCGCTGCCGGCACCCAGACCCCGGCAGTGTGAGAAAGGAAGGGGGCTTGGACCTCTCAGCCGAGTGAGGCCGCGGGCTGGTGCCTTGCACTGGCGGCCCCGCGCTTCCTCTCGACCCTGCGGGAGGGGGGCGACTGCGACCTGGCTTTCATTTTCAACCGCACTCTGCCCGACCAGCGTGAGGGGCAGGTGGGCGGGCGCGGCCGGTTGTAGCCGGCGAGGGAGACCCGGCTGCGGCCTCTGGACTGGCGGCGCGCGAGTCGCGCTTGGCGAGGGCAGGAGACGGTGCGTGGCGGGGCGGCGGTCTTGGGCCGGGACGCCCAACGGGGAACCTGCGCGGGGGTGCCTCTGCAAACCCAGTGCCTTTCGATGTCCCCTTTATCAACTCAGTCCGGTTGTGGGCGTCGCGCCGACCTTCGCGCGATGTTCAGTCTGGGCTGAGATGCAACTCTGGGCGATCGCTCTTTCTTCTACCCGGTGGTGCTCCCGACCTTTTCCCGCTATTCCCTGTCCCTTCCAACCCCACCGCTAAGTGTTCCCGGCGGGCCTCGGCTTCAAACGGGTGAAAGGCCCGTGCGCCCCCTCTTGAAAAAAGCTAATGTAGCGCCCTCCAACCCCCGTTTGTCCTATGGGAGTGTCCAGGGAGGAGGGCCGCGTCCATTTTGCGGGTGTTGTGTCGTTGGGTGACCCTTGAGTGGCCAGGGGAGGATTGTGGGGAGGGGGTGGAATGTTACTGAAATAGTGGGCCTGCCAATTGATCCCCCTTCCCACCAGTCTGTAAACTAAACACACACACAGCCGAGGTCAGCTTTCCCCTTGCGTGATGTCCGGTTCCCTCTCGGCCTTGAGCCGCGTCCGGGGCTTGGGGGCCTTTCGGGCTCTCAGAAGGCCACTTCTGTTGCTGCTTAGGCTGTTGAGGGTTCTTTGGGCCAGGAGAGCCGCTGAACCCAGTCAAATGTCTCCCATCTCTTGTGTGCCCACAGGTAAAGTGGAACTGCACGGGAAACTCATAGAAGTTGAGCATTCGGTCCCAAAAAGGCAAAGGTGAGTTTATTGATTTTTTTTCTCACCGATCCATTGAAAGAAAAGACTCCTTTGCTGCACAGCTGATAACAATTTCTTTTCGTTCTGTGCTTATCGGGCTACTGTGTGGCTTGGCGTTTCTCGTCTTTTCCCTTTGCATTTAAGTTCATGGCAGCTCTGTGTGTGGAATGCTGCGAAGGAAAAGAGGGGTTGTCTGTGCCCCAGCAACTAGGTTGTTTTTGAATATTGCTGTCTCTCAAGGAAGCTCTCATAGCTAAATGCTCTCCGGCAGAGCAGGTCAAGTTGCTGCAACTGGAGATGAAAGTCTCAAGGAGGAGTGTTTTGGGAATCTGCGGGATTTAGCAAGCAATGGATGACCCGATACCTGTAGGTACCGGGTAGGCGAAAGCAGCCGCAGAAACGCTAGGGTGTGGTACGCCCGCTCTTCTCTGGCCAAGTTGGCGACGATGAGTCTGCGAGGCCGTCGGCACATATGAGAGGAGAGGAATTTGCTTTTACCCTGTGAGCTCACCAGCTGGGATTGGAACACGTGAGTGAACGCCTGGCCTTCACCCTAGGAGCGCCTTCCAGTCACTCCAAAGTTAACACAGGTTTCTGCAAACATCGCCTTTGTCTCCGCTCCCTTTTTTTTGAAAGACATTTTTGTTTACAAATCCACCACCAAGAAATCATGAACACTGATGATTTGTGCTGCCTAAAAGCAGGAGGATTTCTCTTCTCCGAGAGCATGTGTAGTGTCACTTGACAGGATATTTTGGAGACTGTTTTAGCCTCTAGAGTGTTTTGGAGTAATGGCTCCTTTCTCCAGAGCAGCAGACTGTCTGGGCTCTGTAACTAACTGGAAAGGCATTGCTCCCTCCCAGTGGCCTGGGGTGGCCTGTGCCTTCCTAGGTTTTGTGAGGTGGGGTTAGGGTTACTGCCTTTCCCCTCCCCTCCCCCACTCCCAGGGCCAAACAATAAACTCTAAGTTAATTTAAAGCAGGTCTGTGTGTATCTGGTTAGGCATTGATGGTAAGGCTCTGTGTGCTGCAGGATAGGAAGGGTTTGCTATACATTTCCCTGGCGACTTGCAGAGATAGATGGCTACACGTGTCATCTGTGTACCTCTGTTTCTAGGTAGTGAGCTATTATAGAGGTAAAGCGTTTTCACAAATCATGTTTTTGGTGGAGAGCTAGTTTGGATTTTTGTTTATTTCTCTTGTTCATGTACTTAATTTTCATTAGGATAATTGTAAAGGGATTCATGTGACCTGAAAGATTAAGTTCTTGCTGGGGATTTTGGGAGAGTTTAAGTTATCTCATGTAATAACATGTAATTCTTTTTAAAAAGCTTATAAAATAATAGAATGGATACTGAAAACTGTCTAAATTGATCTCAGTTTAACAGGAATTGAAAAATTGAGGGAGACGTCGTATCTTCCTAAAACGGAGTTTAAAAGCATGGTCTATGAAGTGGTTACCTAGTAAAAAAAATATATTCACATTCTGCAAATTCTAATTGGTTTCCTGTTTAGCAAGCGTACCTTAATCTTCTTTAAATGTTGAGTAGAAAACGAGAGACTACAAGTGGTTGTATTGAAGACTGGCATTGATTTTCTAAATTTAAAGATAGATATCATAGTTTTTCAGATATAATTCATTGATCTATGTGTTAGTGTAGATTACTTTATCTTGCCCTTCTGCTTCTCCAAGTGGTATGAATTTCTCCCCATGTGTAGGGAATTAGTTTTAAAACATCTGGTAACACCTGCCTTTTTATTGTTAATGGCTTGTGCCCAGCCTAAAAATAAAGTTTTTTGTTGCTTATAATCAACAGGAGGTCCTCTTTAGGAAAGCACATAAGATGAAATATTATCAGTGGCAGTTAAGTGTTTATCAATGGAAGCTTCTTCAATTTATTGACAATATAGATGAAGATTTTCTAGCTGAGTTTTGCTAGCGTTAAGATACTCAGGATTTTAAATGATGAGTAGTTATGTCTTATTAGCAAAGTAAACAGAGGTGAGTACATTGGAGACAACTTTTTATCGATTTGAGAGAACAGCCAAGTAAATTGTTTGCTGCTGTTGAAATGGTTTAAAACAAAAGTAGAGCCATCTTTCTTTGCCTGGGAAAACTTAATGGAAATCCATGTTAAAATTTTGTTTTAACTGAACCTGGGAATTGTGATGCAATTTCTCTTATCTGGACTGTTCCACTGTCAGTTTAGGCTCTGGGACACATGCCCAGCACCTATGGGAGGGTCAAGAGGTGGGACTGGGGAGGGTGACCGTAACAGTGAGTTGAATGCTGCAGACAATCCTTGCCAAGTGGGCCTGCTGGACTTCGGTGTGGATTTCTTTATATTTAGCAGTCATTGCATTCCATCCCATCGTCATGTGGGCATCTGAGTCTGAGGCGGGCACACCCACATGTGCAGCAGTGACCTTTATACCTGCTGTGCAAGGCATGCTGGGAACTGGGTGCTGGAGAATGCTTATGGCAGCATTCCGAGATGGATGAATGGGCTTGCAGCAGCTAAACAGGGGAGCAGTCCCAGAAGGTGATTGGATGTATGGCAGGCTGGTCTAGCTCTGAACTGTGAGCTAACCTGGGCAGGGACCCTCTCAGGAAGGGGCATTGTTGGGTTTGGTTCTGACCAAGCTTGGCTCCTGATTACCCAAGTCTCGAGGGAATGTGGAAGGAATGTTGCTTTTCTGCATTCAGATACCCCTCAGTTGGGGGAAGATTATAGCAGTACTCTACAGAGGTTGAAGTCCCTTGCATGCGAAATGAAGAGAAGATTGCGCTGGATATCTTGACAGAGTTGCACTTTCTGTTCTAAATGGTAAAGATGCTGCATATGAAGACTTTGCTTCAGTCTGAGGTATAGGCTTAAAAAAAAATTCCCGTTTAGGGGTAAGAGTAGGTGTGGAAATAGTTGTGACTTTGAAAGACTAGCTGAGTTTGATTGGAGGAGCCTCTGATACCTTATGGGGCCTTGTATGTGCCCATGTGTGATTATGTAAATAGCACTGATGTCTTTGTTATGTTGTGGGCTGTTGGGCATGGGAGAGGGAACCAGAAAGTTGCTGATGTTGCGGAACTGAGAGGATGGTGGTTTTAGTTCATTCTCCATGGCTTTTTTAAAGTATGAAAATAATTTTTTATATTTTGTTTAAGTTTTCTTTTTCAGCTTAGCCATTTTTGCTTAAACTTCCTCAAGATTTAGCTGTGAGACTTGATTAGGATTATATGTAGCCAAAAATATATTTGAATGAAGGAGAAAAAGTAGGTCATTATAGTCATTAATTTTTTTTTTCATGAAGGATCCTTTAAAACAGACTGTGGTGCATAAGCCAAATGTCCTTGTTTTTTGTTTCCTATTAAAAAAAAAAAAGAACAACTTAATTTCCATATTTAATATGTAAGTTGCACAGATGGAGCATGTATAAGAGTCACTGGGGTTTTAAATGTATCTTATTTTAAGTGGCTATTTAAAGGCTAAAAGGTGCCCTGGTCGCACAGTGGTTAAGCGCTCAGCTGCTAACCGAAAGATCAGCCGCTTCGAACCCACCAGTGGCTCCGCAGGAGAAACGTGGCAGTCTGCCTCCCTAAAGATTTATAGCCTTGGAAACCCTGTGGGGCAGTTCTTCTCTGTCCTGTAGGGCTGCTATGAGTTGGAATCTTTTGACTTGATGGCAGTGGATTTGGTTTGGGGTTTATTTAAAGGCTAGTGTTGCATTTTAATAGCTGTTTATAGAATAGGATGGTAGCCATGACCAGCAATGTGCCCGTTAGCCAGGACATATGACCCTCTCCAAGGCTGGGCAGACTTTTAAAGTCTTGGGACAACAAAGGCTGTTTTTAATTCTGATCAGCACAGGTATGAGTGGCTGTGCTGCTCCTTTCTCATCGCTGTGATACAGGTGAATCTTGTGAGTTGGGGAGATTTCTCACACACAGACTTGAGGTTCTGAACGTTTGGAAACTTTCATGGCTGGTAAAGAATTATAAGCAGGGTTATCTGTGGAGTGCTCAGTTTAAGATCAGTAACGCATGACTGCTTACATGGTTGTAGCCATGTAATTTTTTCTTGATTTCATATCGTTTTCTCAATACTGCCAGAGGCATATTTAAAGATTTTTTTTTTACTTTGGCCTTATTTAAAAATAAAAAAATCTAATGTTAAGTAGCTTCTATTGTGTGGCTGCCCACAGTAACAGAGAGGAAGATGTTACAGGAACATGACATGTGCCTGGAGCAAAAGCCAGTGGGAATTGAGAATCTTGGCTTCTGTTTCTGGCTTTCCTGTTGATTTGTGTGACCATTTACCTTCCCTGTTCAGTCCAAATTCCATTATAATGAACTACAAGGGACATGTTTTGTTCTGAGGTTTTGCCATTCTGGTTGAAACAAATGGACTATCAACTAGCGATTAAAAATATCTTTTGGAGTTAGAAATATGGGGTTTTCCCTTTAAGAAACTTGAATTTTTTTTCTGTAGTATGGTAGTTCAGTTACTTTTGCACATGTACCTCTATTGGGCAGTCAGCAGAAGGGAAATGATCTTTGCCATGCTTTGAAATCCTTTCATGAGCCATACCATTGCACTTAATGTATCATTATAGGACTGAGATTTTGTATTAAAGTGAACCTGTTGAGCCACCTTCCTGTGTTTGAAGCGACTCCATTGTAGTTGTCCTTAGTGCATTCAAGCAGTAACTTCTCTAGCAGTAACTAATTTTTGAGAGGCATGAATTATCCATTCAGTAACTCTGGCAGTTGGTTTGAGCTGGGAGGAAGAAGAGAGGCAGAAAGACGAGATGGTTAACTGTGCTATTCTTAGCTGAGTTCCTTTATCGACTGTTCCTCTGATTCAAGCTTTCGGAGTCATGGGACAGGAGGTGGCAGTGTGGTAGCAGTGACCAACGGGTAGGATTGGTATTCCTATTTAGGATCTCTGCCTGGTAAGTCTGATGTTTCCAAATTGGGTTGGACTATCAGGGTTTTGCTGAAAG